AAAACCACGAAAACGCCCATGCAGCCAGCCTGTTCGCAGGATTCGAACCTCGGACCGAACTACCAGTGTTCAGCGACTTTACCGCTCGGCCGCCGGTGGGCTATCATTAAATGAAAACTGCATTATTTGGAGTTGGGCGGTATTTGGAAATAACTTTAAATTCATCTTGTAATACAAAGAAAAATTAAATCCAATGCAACAAAAATTTCTTTATTACCTGCATTTATAACTTACATGTTAAATACTATTTTGATTAATTTAGGTTATTTTGCATATGGCAAAATAGACTGGGAGGCTATCTGCCTAAGAGGATGGATACTTCCATGAAGGAGGGAAACTGGCTCGTAATCACGTTCCACATGGGAAAACCATAAAAGCCAACGATGCATTCAGTCTTCTTACCTGGGTTTGAACTACTAGTACTTTAGTGGTTTTAAATACACTTTCGGAGCAATTTCTTAGTAAAAAAGTGAGACCTAATAAGCTCACCTTAAAAAATTATCAAGTTTTAATCAAAATTTATGCCATTTAAATTTTTTTGGAGTGAGGGGGTCAAATCTAAATTTTACACAGGCATGTTTCCCAACCAGTTATAAATTACATCATTTTAAACTAAATACAGTCAAAAGTCGTTAATCCGGACACCCATAATCCGGACCTCAAAGCTACAAACTTTCTGCGCATGCGCATAATACCTTTACACATGCGCGTTTAATGTATAACGGATGGTATACGCTAAGATAAAATTATCTATTTCAGTTAACGTTGCAGATTGTGTTGTTCCTTAATCTTCGAATTGGAACCAGCTTATTATTTTTTGCAGACTGTTAGAACAATTTTATAAAAGTAAGTTGGAACTTTCGATTATGTCAAATAGAATTTCCGATGCTGGATCTACAAAGGAAAAGCATGTTTCAATGCAATCAAACAAAAAGTGGAATTGCTGCAAAAAATGGATAAAGGCTCCTTTGTTTCTCTAACCATTCCGAAATCTATTTATCAATTTCACGCTGCTCTGCACGGGGGGGGGGGATGTCGTGGCTCGCAATGAACTGGAAGTTTATCTGTCAGCACTATCCTTATCTTCAGGGCAGATGTTATTTTATTCGGCTTATAATGCAGTATTTGATCTCAATGTACTCCGTCTTTGATATGATTTAAATCAAATTCCTCGTCATTATAAATATCACGAATACAAATCAAATACTAATTCAGAAGTCAAACAACAAAAATCAGCGTTAATTTTCAAAATTTTCACAGGACTAGTTTCGATGGTTTTACTGAACCACCATCCTCAGCTGCAAAACCGCAAATGAACAAGATAGGAAAAATTACGCTGATTTTTGTTGTTTGACTTCTGAATTAGTACTTATTCGGAGTGTTATTGTGTCTTAACAAATCAAATAGTTTGCTGGTTGAAATTTTCTAATTTCGACTATGCGTAATGTACGCTTTACGCATGCGTGCGTTGAAAGAATAACAAAGTAAACAAAAAGAATAACAAAGTAACACAAAGTAACAAAGTAAAAGCGTTGAAAGAATAATAAAGTAAACAAATAAATAAATATTAAGCTTTTTTTTTTGTAAATTTTGATACCCTTTAGATCATAATTGCTCTTTATTTCATAAATTACGGTTTCATATTTTTAATTTTATAATTTCTGCATGCCATCTTACCAGATTTAAAGTGATGATCTATAATCCGGAAAAATCGATAATCCGGAATCGACGAAGTCCCGACAAGTCCGGATTAAAGACTTTTGAATGTATATCTTAAGCGTTTTTAGTCTTTTGTACACCATTTATCGTGAACATTATGCCTAACCTAACCCAGCTAATAGTTATGAATAAATTAGGTACTACAGTCAAAAGTCGTTAATTCGGACACCTATAATCCGGACCTCAAAGCTAAAAACTTTCTGCGCATGCGCCACGTTGAAACGTGCGCACAGGTGTTTACGCGTGCGCGTAAGACCTTTACTACTGCGCATATGCGTATGCGCGTTTAATTTATAACGAACGGTATAAGGTAAAATTATCTAATTATTTATTTCAGTTAATGTTGATGATTGCATTGTTCCTTAATCTTCAAATTGGATTCGGCTTATTATTTTTTGCAGACTGTAAGAGCAATTTTATAAAAGTAAACTTGAACTTTCGATTATGTCAATAGAATTTCTGATGCTGGAGCTCCCAAAGGATCTACAAACGAAAGTATGTTTCGATGTCCATCAAGCAAAAAGTGGAATTGCTGCAAAAAATGGATAAAGACATGAAGAAGGCGACAGAGAGGTTAGTGAAAACGAAAAAATTTCGATTGACAAGTTAGTCGGTATTCTCAGCACAGCAATTACAGGACTTGAACAGCGGAACTTGGTAACTGAAGAAGAAATTATGTCTGTTTATAGAATTAAAGAGAAAGTATTATCACATAAAACGAAGCAACTTAAACAACGTACATTGAAAGAAATGTTTAATAAAGTAAACAAATAAATATTAAGCTTTTTTCGTAAATTTTGATACCCTTTAGATCAAAACTGTTCTTTATTTCATAAATTACGGTTTCATATTTTTAATTTTAGAATTTCTGCATGCCATCTTACGAGATTTAAACTGATGATCCATAATCCAAAAAATCGATAATCTGGAATCACCGAAGTCCCGACAAGTCCGGATTAACGACTTTTGACTGTATTCCGTTTTGACGCCGTAAAAAATTGTAGCAAAAATGTATTCGCAAACGCGCCTATTTAAACAGCGCATCAAATCTAGCGTACGCGCTGATTTCAGATTGCATAAGCTTATATAGTTCTATACTTCTTAAGACGCCATTGAAATACTAGTTTAATTTTTAAATCCTTTTTTAATATCCTATGGATTTAACAATTTGGGAATTGCCCACGACGAAAAGTGGGCAATAGAATTTTGGGTAAAGTGCAGAATCACCCACTGTTTGACACGTTTTTAAGAATTGCACATACTCGGTATCCATGTGCACATCGACCTATTTTCACTTAAAAAAAAATCCCAGAATTGCACAAAAATGGCTCTGTGCACACCCTTGACTTTATTTATGTACATATCGACCTATTTTCACTTAAAAAGTAAAATTGACAAAAATTCAATTGTTTTTACCCTTGTAAAAAGTGGCAAACAAATAAGTAAGCGTTTCTGCACTTTACCGAGAATATTTTCAAAGAAAAGGCATCATTCATTATAGAAAAGCCCCCGAGCGGTAAAATCGCTGAACACTGGTAGTTTGGTCCGAGGATTGAATCCCGCGAACGGGCTGGCTGCATGGGTGTTTTTATGGTTTTCCCCATGTGTAACGTGTATACAAGCCAGTTTCCCTTAGAAAGTCCTCCACGTCTCCTTAGGCATCCCTCCCCTTAGGCAGATAGCCCTAGTGTGCTTTGCCATAATTAACCACACCATTATAGAAAATTACGTTTGAACAAGCAACGAGATGAAATTATGCTTTAGCGATAAGTTGGTAGCGAAATAACGATGCAAGCATCCATTCAGTTATGTTTAGCAATTTTTATATAAATTATAATAATGATCTGAAATAGTTACTCTCATGCTTCTATTCAGTCATGTTTAGCCTTTTTTCATATAAATTATAATAATAAAAAAGTATTTTATGAAATTAACCTTTCATCTAAATTAAAACATCAATCTTAAGATAGTTATTTACTATTATACTTCCTTTCTTGCCGCAATTATTTTTGGCAGCATTGGCATCAACAATAGTTTGGCGAATTTTTACGGCCCTCGAAACCAAACAGTATCATTAAATATTATAGAGGGCTGAATTGAAAAGCATTTTAACATATACCAAATTAATAATATATTCATGTCCTCACTTACTATTTCGCCATTTAAATTATTGAAGAACGGTTTTACACAACAAACCAGGTACTTCACGATTAAAGAGGGACACCTCGGTCAATTGTAAAATTGGAAGATTAGGCCACCAAGTTTGATAAATATAATCCCCAGATTTTTAAGCTTCAATAGACTTCATTTTCAGACTGTTTTGATTGCAGTGCTGTCTGTATGATATCACTGATTTATGATTTAGTAATTCTTTACTCCTCTAAAATAATTAGCATTTTAAACTTGTAAATCAATTTTTTAAAAAAAATTGTCACATTTATGTGCCACGTTTTATTTTCATGTTCACATTTGACTACTTGATATTGTTTTATCATTCATTTTTTTTTTTTAAATGGTGGCTTTCTGTCAATTTTAAAATAAGAATTGGGTTGTTTGTGATATCGATCATTCTTTTGCATGCATTATTAATTTTGATTCCAAAATGTTCAACTGACAAAACGGCAGCCTTTTTCTTATATGAGCATTGAATTTTGTATACAGAGAAAAGTGTAAAAATAGCAAATTATTGACTCATAAGTTGTGGCCAAATGGAGAAACAAAAGGCAGACAGGAAGGGCTTGCCAACACTAAGTTTCATCTTTAGGAGAATTTATGTGGTCGCAGTAGGCAAGATGAGACAAAATATTTGATTCTTTTATAACAGTTGCTGAATTATGCCCTCAACAAATGTAAATCGAACGTTGTTTCTCCAAAAATAAATTAAGTACTTACGTATTATACTACTGACCAGCCAAGTAGTACATTTCAGTGCCAATTATATATGACCACTTCCTTTAGAATTTTTCAGTAATGACCGTCGCCTGCTGTCAAAATTTCTGCCAACCGTCGACAAGATAATGTGCAAATATCGTAAAATATTTCAGGTAAAATGTGAATAAATGTTACTAATTTTTAAATAAATGCTACTTATTATGTTCCTTTACTGTGGTCTTTTCATTTTTTGAAGGTTGCCATGTTGTTTATTAATATTCGCCAAATTAATTTTAAATATCGCAAAATTTTAACAAAATATATGCAGTGATCATTTTAACTTTCAAGCACCCAAAACAATTATACATAAAAAAAGAACAAAAATTAAATGCATACAATTTTTCACATACTTTATAAATAAATCTCGCCTTTGCTCTGGTGTCCATGGTCTCCCATAAAATCCTGGAAAAAGAAGTTCTAATAAATTTCTGTTCAATCATTAAAAAGGATAACTAAAGAATATGAGGTTGTTTTGCATTCTGTTACAAGTAATAAGTAGAAATACAGGAAAATATATTTCCGACTCAAATTATGGAGCAAAAACTTATAAGAAATATAAGATCATATACCAACACATTAAAGAATAAAGCACGCTATAGCTTCATACACATTTATAAGGAGTAACTGTGAATACCAAAAATTAAGAGTTCGGAACAAATTACAAGGTGCTTTTGAAGCACTGCCCCATTTATTGGGTTGTTCGGATAAGTAAATTAGTTTTTTTTCCCAATGGAGGGTTTAATTTTTTTTTAAGTCAACTTCACACTTAACCCACATAATTATTATGTATTTTGACAGCTGATACTGCAGGGCTTGTTTGTGAAAAAGTTCAATAGCTATTAAATCACGTTACTTGGTCGGTCGACAGGATAATACTCAAGTATCATATTTTTTAATCCTCTCCAATGCTGACATCTGTGGTGACAGGATTTTCAAAAATGCAAAATTACCACAAATTTTATAAAATTGTACTAAATTCTCTTTAGTCATGCCTTTCACATTTTTTTAACTTTTCCCTTCCATAATGGAACCTACATAAAGCTTTTTAATGCCGATATTTAAACCAGCATATACACCGCATAGAACAACTGATTTGATAAAACTTTTTGGCAGACTTTAACTGCAATATAGCTCATCAAATTTTAATTTGCAAGCTAAGAATACACAAAATGTTCTTTATTTTGAACCAAGAATATTAAATATGGAATTTGAGAAGTTCATGAATAGTCCATATAACAAATATCAGTCTTTCCATCATACATACGAGAAAATCTTAATTACAGTATAATTGAGTGAAATAGTATTTCAGCTTTAAAAGAGGGATAATCAGCTAAGGCAGTTCATTTTGGATGCAGTAGACATAAATGTGCTAGCACTTGTTCTTTTAACTTTATTATGGCAATGGCTATTCACAAAAATCCATGACTGCTTTTGCAGGGCCAAATAACACTGAAATATTGCTAGAATTCGTTATATGTAATAGAGGTAAAACAGATTTTCTTCATTTAAAGTCACTGCCCCTCCCCAAAGGAAAATATACATTCTATAACATTTTAATAACTGGAAGTTCCTGTAGTAGGACTAAGAACATAAAATTTTTTGTATTAAATCATGAATATTTTCCATTTAGCATTATCTAATGCATTTAAATTCAAACAGTTACTAAAGGTATAACTGTCTTAAATTTCTAAAACAGAGGAAATGTAAAAAAATCGCAAGATGGCACTAGTCACTCTCGTCTGCCATCTTAGGCAAGCAACAATTGCCCCTCAAATTGTGCAATCACATCAGCATTAGCTTGTTTCTTCTTTAACCCGGGAGGAAGCGTGCTGTATTATGTAACACGAGAACGCGCATGGGGTGTCAACGCACCCCAAGCAATTAAATAACGTAAAAATTAAATATATTATTACAATTCAGTAAAAGAATGCATTCTGTATTAATTGCAACATTTTTTTATATAAAACAGCTTAAATTAATGCTAATTTTAAAATTAATAACAAATAGATAATTTTTTTTCAGATGTCTAGAAATCATTGATTTCTATGAGAAATGTTTTTATTTGTGAATGTAATTATAATCCAAATTATTTACATGAACAACGAGTTATATACTTAATATTGAAATCAATTAGGCCCAAGAAGCATTAGATATTTTGCAATATATACATAAAACATCTCTTTCACAATGCTCTTGACATATGTTTTTTACACTTCACACATATAGTTTTTGATTTTCTGTCTTTTTCTCTTGAGCACATGTAACATCTCCTGTATTATACTTTTTTTTTTTTCTTTTTTTGTGGTTCATCAAATTATTTTTTGTAAGAAATCGGCCAGTTCATAACTGATATACCAATTGTCTGTGGTAAAGTTTCTTCAGATTTGTATAATGGAGCTAGGATGCGCTTTGCTATTTCACTAGAACTGCTGACTTTCTTGCACGGCCCATCTGGCTGCTGACATGCGTCAATCTCCATGTTGAAAGCATAGATGGTTCTAGAATCAACCATAGCAAATATCTTTATACCATATCTTGCAGGTTTCTTAGGAATATACTGCCAAAAGGAGCATCGCCTTCGAAAACGTTGTAGCCTTTCGTTCAAAGTCACGTATTCCTCTACATGATATAATTTCTGTCAATTCTTGACAAAATTTTCAAATAAGTCTCTTATTGGAGCTAATTTGGGCTGATCTTTAGAATATGGTAACTGGTAGTTTGGCGACATTTTGGAGGCGATAAAGGTTACTACCTAGGACTTTGGTAATAATGTGAAAAGTACTCAGTTCCGATTACGCATTATTTTGTGCGAGGGAAACGAGAGATCATGAGATATGGTTATGTGACATTAATGGACAAATAAATTACAGTTCTTTAATCGGAAAAGGGGATAAATTTGGAAAACTGTAGTACAGTCAAAAGTCGTTTAATCCGGACTCGTCGGGACTTCGGCGATTCCGGATTATAGATCATCAGTTTAAATCTCGTAAGATGGCATGCACAAATTCTAAAATTAAAAATATGAAACCGTAATTTATGAAATAAAGAACAATTATGATCTAAAGGGTATCAAAATTTACAAAAAAAGAAGCTTAATATTTATTTGTTTACTTTATTAAACATTTCTTTCAATGTAAGTTGTTTCGTTTTATGTGATAATACTTTCTCTTTAATTCTATAAACAGACATAATTTCTTGTTCAGTTAACAAGTCCCGTAATTGCTGTGCGAGAATACCAACTAACTTGTCAATCGAAATTTTTTCGTTTTCACTAACCTCTCTGTCACCTTCTTCATATCTTCATCCATTTTTTGCAGCAATTCCACTTTGTTTGACGGACATCCAGACATACTTTCGTTTTGTAGATCCTTTGGGAGCTCCAGAAGCGGAAATTGACATAATCGAAAGTTCAAGTTTACTTTTATAAAATTGCTCTTACAGTCTGCAAAAAATAATAAGCCGCATCCAATTCGAAACGCAATCATCAACATTAACTGAAATAGATAATTATATAATTTTAGCTTGCACCGTCCGTTATACATTAAACGCGCACGCGAAAATGTATTCTGCACTTGCGCACACGCATATGGTATGCGCGTAAACGCCTATGCGCATGTGTCAACGCGGCGCATGCGCAGAAAGTTTTTAGCTTTGAGGTCCGGATTATAGATCATTCCGGATTATGGGTGTCCGAATTAACGACTTTTGACTGTACTATATTATTTTGTATTAAGCTTCATTGTGTGTTGTGTGAAATAGTGCTGATTAATTTTCGGATTGCATGGCGCTATGTAAAGTGAATTCTAAATTTTTAATGTGTTTATGTGATAATAATAATAAGTTGAGATTGTGTGAAAGTAAGGATATTACAGATAAGTTTGAATGGCGGTGCAAGAAATCTGGTGAAAATGGACATTTTGTGAAACGGAGTGCAAGGAAGGCTACGTGGTTTGCTGAAAGTAGGTTGAGTATGGGTGATGAAATTTTATTAATTTCTTATTACTAGGTGAATAGACTGCCAGTTGACTACTGGATTTCGGATTTAGAAATTAGCAGTAGTACTGCAGCCGATTGGAACTCTTTCTGTAGGGAAGTGTGCGTGCCACGTAATGAAGATTCTGAAGATTAGGTAAGTTAGTATTTTTAATCATTTGAGGATATTATTTTTATGCATTGTTCTAAATGTAAGGCGTAAATAAATTAATATGGTATTATTGGAAAATTGTTATTAGCAATGATTTAGTTTAAAGTAATTAGGATTGTAATCTAATTTTTATAATTTAATGTATGTGCTTATTTATATTTTAAGTAGGGTTTTTAATTTAAATATATTTTAATTTAATGATCGTAATTTTGTGAGTTATATGTTTTGTAGTATTTTGGAATACGCTTGAGTAGAATACGTTGAGTATTTTCATGCATTTTCATGAAATTTTTCTAATTTATGGAAAAAAAGCAGTGTACATGGATTAATGAAGAGTGTGCGCAATGCCATTTTTGTGCAATTCTGGGATGTTTTTTTAAGTAAAAATAAGTCAACGTGTACATGGTTTAGCGATATTTTAATTAAATGATACTTATTTTGTGAATTTTATGTTTGTAGGAATTTGGTATACATTTCAGATGAAGTAAACGTGCATGGAAGTAATTTAAATATTTGACAATAAGTATTTGTAACCATTTGTAATGTTTGCGGTATGAATTCGTTGGTGACATTTATAATATATTAGATAATTTAGAGGTAAAAGTTTTTGTATATTTTATTTATTTTATACATGGAAATGTTCATCTTTGGAAAGGGTATATACTTTTTGCAATCAGGTAATTTCATATATGTTCTTTTTAAGGATTTAAAGATTCACAAAATTTTCATGTATTTTCGTGAAATTTTTCTAATTTATGAGAAAAAAGCAGTGTACATGGATATAGGAAGAGTGTGCACAATGCCATTTTTGTGCAATTCTGGGATGTTTTTTTAAGTAAAAATAAGTCAACGTGTACATGGTTTAGCGATATTTTAATTAAATGATACTTATTTTGTGAATTTTATGTTTGTAGGAATTTGGTATACATTTCAGATGAAGTAAACGTGCATGGAAATAATTTAAATATTTGACACTAAGTATTTGTTTGTAATGGTTGCGGTATGAATTCGTTGGTGACGTGTATAATATAATAGATGATTTAGAGGTAAAAGTTTTTGGATATTTTATTTATTTTATATGTGGAAATGTTCATATTTGGAAAGGGTATATACTTTTTCGCGATCAGGTAATTTCATATATGTTCTTTTTACCGGGTTTAAAGATTGAGAAAATTGTCATGTATTTTCGTGAAATTTTTCTAATTTATGAGAAAAAAGCAGTGTACATGGATATAGTGAAGAGTGTGCGCAATGCCATTTTTGTGCAATTCTGGGATTTTTTTTAAGTAAAAATAAGTCGACGTGTACATGGTTTAGCGATATTTTAATTAAATGATAGTTATTTTGTGAATTTTATGTTTGTAGGAATTTGGTATACGTTTCAGATGAAGTAAACGTGCAAACGTGCATGGAAGTAATTTAAATATTTGACACTAGTATTGTATTTGTAATGGCTTGCGGTAGGTATGAATTCGTTGGTGACGTTTATAATGTAATAGATGATTTAGAGGTAAAAGTTTTTGGATATTTTATTTATTTTATATGTGGAAATGTTCATATTTGGAAAGGGTAAATACTTTTTCGCGATCAGGTAATTTCATATATGTTCTTTTTACCGGGTTTAAAGATTGAGAAGAATTTGTCATGTATTTTCGTGAAATTTTTCTAATTTATGAGAAAAAAGCAGTGTACATGGATATAGTGAAGAGTGTGCGCAATGCCATTTTTTGTGCAATTCTGGGATTTTTTTTTTTTTTTTTTTTTTTTTTTAAGTAAAAATAAGTCGACGTGTACATGGTTTATGTGTATGTGTTATTTGAAAAAACGCGTAAGGAGTATGGTATTGTGCACTTTTTCCCAATTTTGCAGTGAATATTTGTCATGATTAAGCAGTTTTGTTGATAAAAATTTCTAGCATAAGTGTAATTCGGCTAGTAGATTGTTGGAAAAAAAGTGTTCAGTAGATAAAAAGAAAAGAAACATGTCTTTACTTCGTGAAGACAAAATGGCGGCAAAAAAAAAAAAATAGACGGTTGCTATAGCAGAGTTGGTCGCCAAAAAATCGCCAAGTTACCATAATCCAAAGATCAACCCTAATTTTTATCCTTTCATATAAAATAGTCTGATCACAAGGACTGTCTTCTGAAGAGTCGCACTCTTCTTCTATAGAATCTTCGGTACAAATCTGATATACGCCCTAATTTCACGAAATGTGGCAATATGTGTTCTGTGCTGGTTTTGGACACGATTGTGTGTTGTATGGCAACCCTGTTGATGTTGCAAAATCGTTCGCTGGAGCTCGTTGGTTCGTGTCATGCTCTGTTTCTGAGAAGATACAGGGGGAAAGATAAAATGTTGGAAGTTGTTGAATTGAAGTTCGGCAAAAGGTAATATCATCGTGTTGAGGGGCAGTAGGTATTTGGAGGTGTGGAAAGAGGATCTGGGAGATTATTTTTTGTGGCTGTGCGTGATAGAAGTAGGGATTTGTGATTATTTGTTATTTTATTTATTTGTGAACCATAGTATGAATTTTCTGGATAGTGTGTCTGGCTGTCATATAAATACGATAGTGATTACGTGGCGGCATGTTAAAGGCGGTATGAAATTGGTATTTCTGCTGTTCGAAAAAGGATTAATTCATGGTAAGTGCATTTTATTTTATTCTTGTTCTTATTTTGTAGAATGTTATGTTCCTTGTTTTTTTAGTATGAATTTCTGTCATTGTTGTTTTTTTAAAATTTATTTTAGTTATTTTGTTGATTAGTGCGCACAGTCTAAATTGTGCAATGCATAAATGTTTTTTAAAGTTGAAACAGAACGCAGTATACATGGTTTCTTTGAAATTTATTGTTGTTGTTATGTTAATGTATTAAAGTGAGGTATGCGTAGTTCGTAGATCCGTTTGTTGTCTAAATTGTGCAATTCATAGATGTTTTTTAAGTTTAAACAGGATGCTGTGTACATGGTACCCTTTGAAATTTATTGTTATTATGTTAATGTATTAACGCGAGGTGTGCGTAGTTCGTAGATTCATTTGTTATCTGAATTGTGCAATTCGTAGATTTTTTTTTAAGTTTAAACAGGATACTGTGTACATGGTACCCTTTGAAATTTATTGTTGTTATGTTAATGTATTAAAGCGAGGTGTGCGTAGTTCGTAGATTCGTTCGTTGCCTAGATTGTGCCATTCGTAGATTTTTTTTTTAAGTTAAAACATATCACTGTGTACATGGACTCTTGTCAAATAATTTTGGTTAGAAACTTTACGGTTTCGCTATCTAAATTTTTTGTTTTTGTTTCGGATTTTTAGCTTAAATTGTGTGTTCAAAACGTGGTTTTTGCGTTCGCGAAAACCTCGTTTTTGGAGACATTTTAGGCTTAAAGTTCGAAATGTAGACAAAAAATTTAGATAGCAATATGGCAGCATGGAGTTTCTCACCAAAAATGTTTGGCGAGAAATTTGGCAACTTGAGGGCGCATATCAGAGTAGTTCCGAATCTTCATCCGATGAAACCCCTTTAATAAATTTTGAAGTCTTTTCATTTCTTGATCATACGTCAAATGAGGATAAGACCGAACAGCGAGACTTGCACACGCCATGGCTCACACTGAAAAATAGTAACACGAAAGCACGCGTGGGGTGTCGGCACACCCCAAACTATTATTTAAACAATAAACACTTGGAATTTGCAGTTTCCTCTCGAGACATATAGAAAATGACCTTGAAGTCAGCTACTGATGGACCTAAGCATTTTGGATTATAGGGGGAGATTGTCAGCGAATTTTTTTGAGCGAGGGGTGCCAAAACACCCCACACGTGTCTTCCCTGATTAATCCATAAAATAGCAGAGATCAACTAAAGCAAAAGTCACTTTTGTGCTTTCCAAGAATAAAAGATAATCTACATCTCTTAAAACAAATATTACAGAAAAACTGAAAAATGCATATTACTTCACACACATACACATTCCCTGCAGTTTTCTTTAATGAACAAGGTGGGAGTTTAAAAATATAGATATACACCGGATGCTCAAAAAAGCATCTTCCTCTCTTAAATCTTTACTGCTAGACTTGTACTTGTTAAAACTGGCTTTAGTGTAGAATTAGGTGCACCATCGATTAGTGACAAATTTTGTTCAATTTCAGCAATGAAACCCCATTCCTGGTTACCATGATAGTTTTAACTTTCTTTCACCTTCTTGATTTTTTCCTAAGTAAACATAGATCGATGTGCACATGGGCAAAGTTAAGGCAACACGCAATCCCTAGTTTGTGCAATTCTCAGATTTTTTTTTAAAGTGAAAATATATCAATATGAACATGGACACCGAATTAGTGCAATTCTTTGACTTCTTCTTTTAGTTTTATGTAGTGGCCATCTTGAAATTGTGCCTTCCTGGTGCTGATCTTGGCATCAAAAAAGAATCGAAAAAAAAAAAAAAAAAAAGGAGAGGGGACACTGAATTGTAAACTTTTACCAAAAAATTTCTACAAACACTGTTATGAGCATTAATATTTTCAACTCCACGGTTGAATGGGCTTAATAAATATAAAATCTAACCTTTTATGTTGTAAATTAAAAAGCATAAAATAAAATTAACTTAAAAAGGAAAAAAATTCTTTACATGCAAGAGTTGCACTAATATCTGTAGTTAATGAGAGAGATAAAAACTAAATTATGAGTACTACTTTATTATATATAGCATATATATATAGCTTTTTTTTCCTTTCTCAAAGAACCCGTTGGAAACAGTCCCTTATGTATATAATCGACTCTCGTTGTTATGGCTCATAAAAAAATCCAGGCCGATTTTCATTCGATCATTTTTTTAAATTTATCAATTGGGTCTTCATAACACCAGTCGAATTTATATTTACGTTTGTACGCATGAAACAAAAATTTACAAATTAATTCATGCCTAAGCCGATGAAATATTGGACAGTTTTATATTTCATATAAAAAGCATAGCTTGGATATAAACGCACCACTAAAATGAAGGAGCAATGCATCCATCCAGGCGTGTTAACAAGAATAATACGTATGTACTATTACACAACTACCGTTTTTAACGAAACTAGAAGTGTCGAGTGAAGTTACTGCAGTTATCTTGAAACAGTAAATACACTCCTATAAAAATAATATATACTAACATACGTACCCAGGAATAATATAAACAAAATTTTGTTTGTAACATATATACCCAGGAATAATATAAATAGAATTTTGTTTGTAACATATATACCCAGGAATTTGAAACAGAATTGAAATAAACGCAGTCATCTGCGTCGACTGAAGTTACCGCAGTTATCTTGAAACAGTAAATATACTCCTATAAAAATAATATATACTAACATATACACCCAGGAATAATATAAACAGAATTTTGTACCTTCAACCACGCCACAAAGAAAGTCTCTGGTATCATGTTTACCCTCCACAACACTAGAATCTGCCACATCGCATGCATCCGCCATTTCTAATGCAGAGTAAACGGAGAAACTTATATTTACCGAACGCTCCCCAGTGATTTAAACGACTTGCAATACAAAGAAACTTCAGTGCTATCACTTGCTTTGTATGATAGCAGTATTCGGGTACACAAATAACATATGCAATCTTCGACTTTCTCCATACAACTGCAAAATTTCATTCGTTTTTTCACTCGACAGAGACTTGAGTATTGCGAGACAAGAGTATTGCACTACACTACACAGACAAGAGTATTGCCAGATAAATATCACAATGTTTATGAGTTTGATGGCAGTTTTCAGATAACCGGCCCTTGACGATCCGTGTTGGAGATAACCGTCAACCTCGACAAAGCCTAGAAACTATCTGCCTAAGGGCAGGGATGCCTTCATGGAAGACTGTCTAAGGAAACTGGCTCGTATACACGTTACATATGAAATATTGTCATTGATCTATGGGCAATATTACCTTATCTACGGATATTGCTGTAGGATCGGTGAAGGCCCATCCGTTCGTACACGAAATCACTGAAAATCCGTCGCTTATTGTGATCAACAAGTGCTTCTTAGAGAGATGCAAGAACCGGAGTACCTGGTTTAAGACGACCTATCTCCATCGAGTAAACAAGTACTTTAGAATTTACTACAAAGTAGCAGAGGTGCATCTAAATGCTGAGGAATAAGCACTAAAAATGGCAAAAGTTCTAAGCATAAAAATAGCGCCATTACATAGCACTCTTCGTCGAACTGGTGAGCATGTAAATAAAAGTAAAGTTAAATCTGTAAAGGCAGTGCAAGTCTTAAGGACATCGTAACAAATTTAAAAATAACGCAAAATCATAAACGGATTAAAAATGTAAAATAAAAAAGCATAAGTACCAAATACACAACATTTACAACTTCAGCACACGTGAAGTAACGATAGTAAGGGAGGAAATAAATGAAATAAAACATTCCCGAAGTTCCTCCATTGAAGATTTCTTCAAGTATACTAAATAATACAAACATCTTATCAACAGAAGAAGTTGCTTCCCTTATTTCATTAAATCTACTAATGGTAATTTTGATTACATAAAGAATCGAAAATAAGTAAAAAATTGCCTTAATATAAACTTTAAGCATATCCGGGAAAGTAGCCGATGTGCTATCTGAACTTTTAGCATTTTTCTTTCCTAAGGCTTTCTTACCCTCAGAAGTTTTAGCGGAAAATAATATATTATTGGAAATATTTCTGTTTTCTTCTGGTCTAGATTTACACTTAATACCACGAAGTGCAATTTCCTCGGCGATAGTCTCCATGCCAGTTTACTTACTCGTTGCTCCTCGCCACTTGGTCCAGAGCTGTTTTTGCTTGAGTCAATAATTTTCTCAGAATGCTTTTTGTGTATGTGCATTGGATTTTGGGGCAACTGGAAAACTGGCAGCATATTCGTCGCCAAAGTTGCATCAGGTCAGTTTTTCAATCCATTTTGTTTGACAATCCGAACTTTTGTGTAGGTGAGCACATTTTACACACCTTTGAGCCAGTTACATTGTTTCGAGAAATGATAGAAATATTGGCAGTTGTGGCACCGGGCCACGCAGCCTTTAAATTTGTATGACTCGAGAGCGACTTTGAAGAAAGATAGGTTTCCATATCTTACATCTTTTCCACACAAGGTTAATTTACGAGCTGGACCTGGAACATAAGCATGAGAACACGTGTTTTGAATTTTATCATCTGTGTTACCTTGAGGATGCTACATCCATCACTAATTAGTTCTTTATTTTGTCCGAAGTACAATCAGCTGGAATACCCCTAATCACAATTTTAGGGTCTAGTCTGGATACCGGTCGAGATCGATGTCGGAAAAACTGTCGGGATTCTCTTTCCACTCGACAGAAGGAAGAGCGAGTCTGGCCCCTTCAAATTCCGTCGGCGGAAAGTGAAGTGGAATTCCGTGCGGAAGTGACGTTTATTGCATAGCAACCAGTATATCTCCCATCTACATTGCTCCAGGCTCAGGGGAAGGGGGTAGTTTGTTGTCAAAGAGGCTGTTTCGCACGTGCTTATTACTGAGGATGGCGGTAGAAAAAAAATCGAGTTCGAGTAAATGGTGAAATTTTTCGAAAAAATACGCTTCTGGATTTAGTAAAGAGTATGGAACAAAGAAATGGGGAACGTTAATGGATATTTTAAACGCAGAAAGAAATGGCCTTTTCGAAACTTCAGGTATGTGAAGAAACGTAAACATAATTTTACGTGTGATCTATTGCAAAATGGAAATTTCTAAAAGGTTACATGTTTGTAAACTATTTGTTAACAGGAATTTTATGATTAAAATACATTATTTTGTCTGAAAAGGTTATACAACAACGTCATAAGTCAAATCATTGAAATATAGCACCGCACATTTCAATTTTTAGCAACCCATGACTATATCAATAATTTTATTTATTCAGGAATTATACCTATCACGTAGCTACAAATATACTATGTATCGTAGATACCAATAAGGAGTGAGTAAAACTATGACAAACTTTTAACAAAAGTAATAGGAAGAAAAATAAAAAAAAACTAAATAACTAGGTTAAATCATAAAACATATTATCTTGCACACACACACATATATATATATATATTTTAACATATGCAGTGAAAGGAAATTCCAATACATATTCCTATTTATACCCTTTTTAAATCGATCCCACCAGTGACCGTGTGGTAAAATCGCTGAACACTGGTACTTCGGTCCAAGGTCCAAATACTGCGAACGGGTTTGTTGCATTACCAACATATCTCTGATAACCAATATATCTGTCATTATCAACATATTTCTCGTAATTTCCAAATGCATAAAAAATTAAGGCATACAAAACCTGTTTTAAATAAATAACTATATGTATATACAAATATATTATAAATATATTAATATATGCAGTGAAAGGAAATTGCAGTACATATTCCTATTTATGCCCTTTTTAAGTCGATCCCACTAGTGGCAGAGCGGTAAAATCTCCGAACACTGGTAGTGCGGTCCGAGGTTCGAATCCCGCGAACGGGCTGGACTCATGGCGTTGTTACCAATGTATCTGTTAATGACAGATCATTGGCAACTTCCAGAAGCATAGAAGTTTAAGGCACAGAAAATCTGTTTTAAATAGTTATATATATATAACTGTATAAATATATTAACAGATGCAGTGAAAGAAATTACAGTAAATATATATTTATACCCTTTTTAAATCGATTGCACCAACGGCCGGTAAAATTGCTGAACACTAGAAGTTCGGTCCAAGGTTGGAATCCCGCGAACGGGCTGATTGCATGGACGTTTTCGTGGTTTTCCCCATGTGTTTTCCTTAGAATGTCCTCCACGAAGGCAACCCCCACTTTAGGCAGATAGCCCTCGAGGCTTTGCCTTAATTACATAAAACCAAAACTAAGGACATTTTTGATCTGAATAAATATACACAAAACTGATGTAATATCTAAAAGTAGACCACATTAAAAAATCTGATAACTAATTATAAATCTTGCATTATAATATTGACAAGAATTTAACCGAAAATTGTACAGAAATTTAACTTGTTTTATATACGAGATTCTAGAAACTATTGGAAATTGACACCGATATCGGTACAGTTAAAACTACTTAAATAAATTTTTTAACTCAAAGCAATTTAATGTAAATGTTGAATTTAGGATGTGCATAGTTTGAATTATATACTTCATATTCTTTAATGCATGCCTAATGTATTACTTTTTTATACACTACAAATTCAAATAAAAGTAGAGGGAAATACATTATAATTTAAAACACAAAATTTCAAAAATTTATAAATTACTCATCAAAACATGAAATTAAGTACATTGATATATACATTAGTTTAAAAATTACAATTTTAAATTAAAAGTATGCACCCCTTCTTTATATGCGAAATAGGAAAACACCAAATATATTATTTTCACTAAAATTTAATTAAGGCATTGGTAATGTAGAATAAATAAATAATGTAGAATCGTCAGCATCAAATTTGTTATTTTCTATAGCGAAATACTCGAGTTTTTCACAAATCTTAAGAAATTAAAATATTTATTACGTACACTTTCAAAAACAATCCGTGACCTCCGCCGTCCTCAGTTTAGCTCTAAAACGACAGTCAGAAACTTAAACGGCAGCTGTCCAGCTGACGGAAAAATTTCGACGCGTCGATTTCTGTAATGATCGAGACGATGACACCAGACTCGCTCTCTGTCGAGTAGATCGCAAAAAGCGACCCGTTCTTCTATCTCGACAGTGTCCAGACTAGGGCCCTTAAATGGGTCTGACCTTTTAGGATGTACAGTGGGGAAAAAAAGTGGACAATTCTATATTTCCCGTTTTAATGGGCCAATTGACGAAATTCAACTTGTATTCTTCATGGCTCGATAGCGCAACTTAGGATATATAGAATTATTCTAATATAGGTATTTTGACAAAAAATCGCGACTTTTTCTGATATGACATGCTAATTTTTTTCCATATTTCGATTCTGCAACTCAAATTATGCCAAACTACCAAGCTTTGTAAAATCGCATGAGTAGTTTTTCAAAAATTACCTCTCAAAATTTTAGCTGCTCAATATTTATTGAGTCTGGTATATATTTATTAATTTCTCTCTTTTTATTAAACTTATTTGATTCTTCCCTTCACATTTCAAAATTTAGGTTCATTCCAAATAAAATTCACCCATTTTTTATGATTCATTTTTAAAATTTGTATTTTTAAATAATTTTTATATATTTTTCGAAAAGGATTTTGAATTATAACCTATACAATTTTTACCATCATTTTAAAGTAGATGTATTTTTAAGTATACCTGCAAAAAATTAGAGTTTTTATTCAAAATTTCCGAAGATATACCTGAAATTATACGTTGGCGCATTTTTAAATTTTGCATATTTTTTATAAGCGATAATAACGCCAAATGTTGTTTACGAAGTTTGTTAAAATTATTTGAATATATGAACGATGACCTTTTTTTCCTGCTCGTCTGTAATGAAAAAACGGAAAGAAAAATAGGCTGCTGTAAATTAAGAAGTTCGCCAAGTGAATTATTCTTGGTGCACACCGAACAAAATGCACCAAGTTAAGTTTTTGGATTTCTCCGTAAATTTGGCACCAAATTTTACACAATTTAGTATTTAGGCATATTTGAGTCATAGAAAAAATTGGTATGTCATATCAGAAAAGTTCGGTTTTGTGTCAAAATCCC